AGGTGGGACAGGGGTGAGACGGGGTGGCTGCCAGCCCCGCTACCCCCCACAGCATCCCTCTGGGATGGGGTCAGGGTGCTGGAGGGACCCCAGGGCAGGGCTACCCTGGGACAAAGTGGGTGAAAGGGAGAATTTCAGGCTTCCCATTTTGCTGAGTTCATAAGGAGGAACTCCAACCATCACCTCTAGAAACCCTCGTTTCTTAACCAGAACATTTTCAAATGCATTTTTGGCCTTAATAATTGAGGGGGGAAGGGTTTGAGGATTAAAAGCACCAAGAACTTGAGCCCAGAAGGGGAGGAGGAAAAGAGAAATACCTCGATTTTCCCTCTTGGCCAGAACATTTGGATCCTGTTGAGGAAAAAAAAAAAAAAAAAAAAAAAAAAAAAAAAGAAACCACAAAAGCAACATCAGAATCAGCCCCGAGCTGTCGGCGGGGAGCAGCTCGCCAAGCCGGCTGCTTTACGTAACCAGCTCCCCAGCTCCCAGCTATTGAGGAATTTTCCACGTGGTACAAGCGGGAAGAAGGAAGGAAGGAAGGAAAGAAGTCAGATGTGAAAATGTGGTTTTCCCTCTGCATTTCCTGACTGTGCCCCCTGGTCCTGCACCCCACAGGGATCAGCTTCCCCCAGTGCCCATCACTTACCTTCTGGATTTTGGGCTGCATGCGGGAGGGGCAGGGGGGCATCTGGTTGAGGGCAGCTGTGATCTCCTGGGACTCCACGGCAGCCAGGGCATTGCAGATGGCCATGACCGACTGGATCACTCGCTCTGCCTTCAGTGGGAAGTCTCCCTGGAGGGCAGAGGTGGGTTGATAGAGGTCCCAATGGGGCAGGGGCTGCTTCCCACAGCCCACACACCATACATAGTTAGATGTGCCAGCCCATGCCTCAGTTTCCCTTATTTTCACAGCCTTTTCCCTTCTCTGATGCATCCTCAGAGCCCCACAATGAAAAGGGGAATAAAATCTGCAGCAAATAAGACAAGACAGCCCCAAAAATGCCCCCTCCATCCCTGGTGCTCACCTCAGCTGCCAGGAAAGCATCCACCTCATTGTGGAAGGTGTCAAAGAGGAGACTCAGGGCCTGCCTGGGGGATAGAGAGCAGAGCTCAGCCTTGGCCAGGTCGGTACCCAGTGCAGGAGACCGGTCCCACCGTGTCCCCCCTACCTGCTGATGGTCTGCTTGATGGGTCTCTCCTGCAGATGGATGTAGTGGTTGAGGGTGGAAGGGCTCTGGTCATCGTTTGCCTGGAGATGGAGAGATGCTGTGCCATAGCTCGGGCACACACAGGTGTTCCAACCTCAGGGAGGTGGCACAAGTGTCCCTGTGCTGTCCCCCACACCCAGACACCCACCGTCCGGGCCAGGTCGCTGCGCACCCCCTTCCTCTTCATCAGCTGCAGGCGGATGTCGATGTCAAACTTCCTGCAGTGCTGGATGTACTCGTGGCTGCCCAGAGCGTGTTTGCTGTGGGGAGAGACCACACACTGAGCCCGTGGCTCCTCTCCATCCCATGCCATACCCCAAAATCCAACCCGGGATGCCCCATCCCAACATCCCATGGCCCAGCATGGAGTTGGCTGCGGCTGCCTGGCCTGCAGACGGATGTTCGTGGCACTGGGTTGCCTGCCCTAGGAAACCCAAAGAATAAGCTATTGTTTCCCTCCTTCCCCTGTGCCCTCCAAAAAGCCGTGCCCAGCCCAGCTGGGACGGGGCCTGGAGGAGCCTGTTGTGCCTGGACCTGCCTGCTGATGTGTGGGGAGCAAAGCATGGACCCAAGGAGCTGGAGGATGCTCCTGACAGCAGAACAGGGGTGAACCCTGGAGCAGGGGGATGACAGCTTGCTCCCACCAGCATTGAAAGCCCCTCTGGAGCAGGGGACCTGCAGAGCTCACTGTCCAGACCCACTTTCTTTGCCAACTGTGTGGAAGAACAAGTCAACTCAGCCCTGGCCAGCACGGAAGAGCCACGGGCACGGTGTTGAGGGGTGCAGGAGGCTCCAGGCAGGATGGTGCTGCAATGGTAGGATGCAGTGGGGAGGTTGGGAGAGGCACCCCCAGGGGCTCGTGAGGCTGTAGGGGATGGGGACACCAAGTCTGGTCAGTGTGTGGCCACCAGTGCCACATTCATGGCCAGGACAGGGAGGAGATGTGTGGGAAAGGCACTGCAGGACACTGTGCCCACATCCTGCCTGGTCCTGCCTCCCCCTGCACCTCAAACGGGAGTGAGTGACAGCAGCTCTGGCTGGTCTGCAGAGCTCAAGGGTCCAAACGGCTCCACAGGGAGGGTTTTGGCACTTCCAGCATCTCCTCTGCTGCAGGAAGATGAGGAAAGAAAAGATCGACGACAAAAGGGCTTTATGTCCCAGGACTTTCTCAAAGGTCCTTTGAGGGTCCCGGGAGATATGGTAGCGCCTGCCCACACCAGCTCCTGGGGACAGGCTGTCCCACTCTGTGCCCAGGATGTCATTCCCTGCCAAAAAAGCAGGAGGTTCATCCCTTTAGGAAATGTTCTCCAAGCTGGTTGGATCCATCCTACAGCAGGGTGCTCCCTGGCATCCCCCGACACGAGGTTTGCTGTATAGGTCAGATGTGTGGGAATGCTGCTGTACCCATGGCCAGTTCACAGCTTGCACCCTGCTGTGTGTGAGCACACGTGTGAACACACGTGCACACACATGTGCAATGAGCTGCTGGGCAGCAGGAGGGCTCAGCACGCATGGGAATAACCCCTCCAGGCAGCTGTGCTGGGCAGCCAGGAGCAGTGGCTGAGCTCCACTCACCCTCTGCACCGGTGCCGCGCAGGCTCTCCTGGGCTGAGCAATTCCCAGCTGCCCCTTTAGGGCCTAAAGCAGCAGCTCCTGGAGCCCATGGCAAAGCTCCCGCAGATTTCCCGCAGCACAGCCAGGCCCAGGGCAGTTCTCCAGCAGCAGGAGCTGGCTCACTGCACCGAGCCGCTGGGAAGGACGGCGTGTGCCTGTGCATCGGCCTCTGCAGAGAGCTCTCCTGAGCTGTCAGACTCCAAAACCCCTCTGGAAATGCAGCCTTTCTCCAGGAAAGGCAGGGAGGGAGGGATCTCTGCAGATCTCAGTCCCCATCACCCATCTGAGGGAGCCCCTGATGCTCCCGTGTCCCCCACGTGTCCCTTTTCCACCTTCTCCTGCAATTTCAGCAGCTCCACTCAGCGACACGGCTGTTATTAATTCTCCTCCAAAGAGCTTTTTTGGCAGCTCCCTGGTTTTCAGGCCTCTCTCCAGGCGCACAGGGGTCAGCGTGACGGATAACCCTGCCACTGGGAAAGATGCTCCTAACATGCTGCTTTTGGCAAGACCAACACCACAGCTTGGGAGGCAGGAAATGGAGCGGAGAGGTTCCTGCTGTGCACACCGGGATCAGCCCTGACCATCCATCACACCCGGCCGAGGCCACGCACGGGGCGAGCACGGCCGAGCGCGTGAGTCCCGGGCTGCCTGGGTTGTGTCGTGTGATCCTCCCAGCCCCCTGACACTCACTTCTGCAGGAACTCCTCCAAGCCACAGATTTTGAGCACAAAGTCCTCGACGTCGATGGTGTGCAGCTCATCGTGAGTGTAGCACAGTGCCTGGTAGATAAGGAGGTCCACGGTGGAGGAGCCTGTGGGGAGAGGGAGCAGGGGAAATAAAAGGGAAAAAGGGGAAAAAAGGGAAAAGGGAAAAAAGGGAAAAAGGGGAAAAAAGGGGAAAGGAAAAAAAGGGGAAAGGGAAAAAAGGGGAAAAAGGGAAAAGGGAAAAAAGGGAGAGAAGGGAGAGAAAGGAAGAGAAAGGAAGAGAAGAGAAAGGAAGAGAAGAGAAGAGAAAGGAAGAGAAGAGAAGAGAAAGGAAGAGAAGAGAAGAGAAGAGAAGAGAAGAGAAGAGGAGAAGAGAAGAGAAGAGAAGAGAAGAGAAGAGAAGAGAAGAGAAGAGAAGAGAAGAGAAGAGAAGAGAAGAGAAGAGAAGAGAAGAGAAGAGAAGAGAAGAGAAGAGAAGAGAAGAGAAGAGAAGAGAAGAGAAGAGAAGAGGGAAGGGAATCATTAAGGTTGGAAAAGACCTCTAAGATCATCAAGTCCAACTGTCAACCCAACACCACTATGCCCTCTAAACCATTTCCTGAAGTGCCATGTCTACATGTTTTTTCAACAGCTCCAGGGATGGTGACTCTACCACTGTCCTGGACAGCCTGTTTCAATGTCTGACCACTCTTCCAGTAAAGAAGTTTTTCCTAATATCCAATCTAAACCTCCCCTGGTGAACGTGAGGTCCTATCACTTAGTGACTTAAGAGAAGAGACCAACACCCACCTCACTACAACCTCCTTTCAGGTAGTTGTAGAGGGGATGGTGGGATCCCTGCCCAGATCCTCCACCCAGGTGTTGCTGGGGTCTGTCCTGGCTTCACATCACCTTGGGTTCCCTGCAATTTCTGCAAGGTGGGGTGGGCAAGCAGCTGCATGTTGTAGGACACTTACAGTCACAGGTGAAGGTGAGAGGCTCCCGTAGGCTGTCACACACCACTGTCACCTTCAGGCTGACGCCGTGGCCCAGCTGCTCGGGGCTGAGGTTGACGGCGCTCCACACCAAGCCGGTGAGGGAATAATCCTCGGTGCTGTAGCCAGATCGCAGCCTGTGGCAGCAGGGACAGGTCAGAGATGCCACCCTGCTTTGGGTTTGTCCCACCCCCCCAAAAACCACCTGTTTTGGGGCATTTTGCAGTGGGATGCTGCAGCTCTGGGGTGCACTGAGAGCCCCAGGAAGGGCTCGGGCATGGCCAGTACTCACACATCCAGCATGTGGCAGAAAGCAGCCACCTCCTCATCCCGCTCCTCCGAGACCTCGAAGAGCTCGTAGCCATTGGTGAAGGAATGTGGCCGGGGGGCAACCTATGGGGCAGAGCACGAGCCCATCAGCTGGCTGCAGCATCTCTGGGGAGCTCCAGCATGTCACCCACCTGGGACGGGGTTTGCCAGATGCCCCCATTAGAGCACCAGCACCGAGAGCCTTTGCTCACCCCGGTGCTGCTGCAGCCAGGGAAAGGGTCCAGCACAGGAGGGGTTTGGGCCAGGTGGGCACCAGCCATGGGATGTGTCACCCACATCTGCACTGGCACCTTCCCCATGGCTGGGAGAAGGGAGACATGAGCTCTCGCTGCCCCCAGCCCACAAAATTGGCCATTTCCAGGCTGTTTCCAAATATCCCCATCAGGGACGTTCCCCACTGAGACATGGGATGGGCAGATGGACCTGAGGATGCTGCAGGATGGGCAGGGACAGTCCCCAGGCCACCACGGTGCTGCAGCAGAGCCCTGCCTTCTGTGCCCAGCCCCACATCCCACGCTCCCACTGCGGTACCAGGGCTGGTGGCACCATCGTGCCAGGCTCCCCCTGCGCATGGGGGTCCCGGGGCCTCCATCGCTCTCTGGCAGCGAACAATGGTCCCACTGTCAGAGCAATTAACCCAGCCAACAGCTAACGGGAGGCAGAGAAAAGCAGAGAACACAGCAGCCACTAAAGACAATTTTAATGCTCTTTTATAATTAGTTTCTGGCACTAAGAAAACCAAGAGTGACTTAAGTAGCCCCCGCCGGCGGTCCCCGGCTGCATCCCTCCCACCCTGGGGAGGAGGAACCCTGCGAGGAGGCGACTTCTCCCCTGATTTCTCTCCCCTGATTTCTCTCCCATTATTTCTCTCCCGTTATTTCTCTCCTCCTCTTGCCGGAGGTGGGATGAGCTGCAGCAGAGCTGGGGCTCTGCCCCTGCAATGGGCACCTCACTGGGGACAGGGGATGTGGCAACACCAGCAGCCCCCCAACACCCCTGTGCACAGAGGGGAGGTGTCCTGCTCGCTGCTCGATGGAGGGAAGAAGGGAGCTGGGATTGGAAAGGTGGTTGTGAGCCCAACAGGAAAGCGATCGCCCGGCTCTCGGGAGGAGACTCCCGGCTCTTTCCGGAGGATCTTGTGACACTTTGTGAGCTGGTGGGACATGAGACCACTGCAAACCACCTGCAGCTCAAGGAGACAGCCCACGCTTGCATCGCTGGTGTCTCAGCACACGGATGCCTCCGACTGTGATGTAAACAAGACTCTGAGGAGCACCAGTGATGGGACATATAAAACCAACCCGGAGCAAAGGAAACGCAGCAAAGCCACAGGCACCCACAGCCCGTTCGCATCCCGGCGCTGGGTTCCCAGCTCTCCCCAGCATCTCGGCTCCATCCCAGCCCCACTTCCAAAGCAGGGTGAGAAAAGCTTCTTACCGGATCGATGGAGATCCTGCAGTTCTTGTTCGGTGCCAGATTCTTCCGATTGCCGAAGCGAGAGACGTACGTCCGTGGTGGGACCTGAGGGGGCATGGTCTTGCTCCGTGCCACCGGCTTGCCGCTTGATTCCTTCTCAAAGATGCTCCTGCCCTCCTTCCAGCCACGGGCAGCTTCCCGCAGCACCTCTGACTCGTAGGTGGACTTCAGGTTGAGGCAGGTGATGGCATCGTTGATGCCACCATAGTCGGAGATGCCATAGGGGTCCTCCTCGGAGATGCGGCGGCCGAGCAGCTTGCCGTGAGACCGCTCGTGGGCTGCCGAGAACATGTTGATGTCCCTGGGCTGGGGTCCTTTGGAGGATGGGGGGGACCCCTTCCCTGAGAGCTGGGTCCCCCCTCAGGGGAGCTCCAGAGGAGGTGCCGGGGGGGCAGCGGGGGTGGTGAGATCTTTTTGGGGGAGCTGCCCCCACCGTTGTGGGGTGAGGTGCCGTTGAGTGGTTCCCCAAGGAAGTCCCCCTCTGACCCATCAAAGATGTACAGGTAGTCCCCAGCCAGGGGTCCCTTCAGCCAGGGCTGGGGGTCTGGATGTGTAGGGCTGGGTCCTGGTGGGGGTCTGGGTGTGGGGGGACCCTCAGGTGCCACCGGGATGTTGTAGCTGAGCGTGGGGTCAGAGCCGGAGAGACCACGCGCTGCCTTGATGCCGGCGCAGCCGTTCCTCTCGGTGGGGTCATCCCAGGAGATGAGGGGCTGGTCTCCCCGTTGCTTGGCCAGGTTCTCCTCCTTGTCCTGCCGCAGGCGGGGGAGCGCGTCGTACTCCATCTGCAATGCCTCTGCCAGCGCCAGCTCCTTCCGGCTGATGCCCACCGATTCCAGGGATTTCCAGTGCTCCCCATTGCCGCGCGTGGCGGACATCTCTCCAGGGATGAGGACCTCTTCCTCCTGGGCTCAGGGGTCAGGAGAAAGGCATGCTGCACCGCCAGCCACCTGGGTGGAGGGGAAAGGCGAGGGTTAACGGCTGGGCTATGATAAGGAAGGTTGGTTACAGAGGGTCAGGCTGGTGGTTCAGCCCCTTTCCTCTCTGTGATGGAAAAAAAGGAAATATTTAGGGGCTCAGACAGGTTAAATAAAGATTTTGCTGACGCCCACCCCACTGAAGCCAGTAGCCAGGCAGGGTTGGTTGGCCCCACAGCAGCTGCTGGGGTTATTGCTGGAGCCAGACGTATTTTCCCCCCCGCCCTGAGGACTAAATAAGCTGCAGAGCGGGGAGGGCACAGCAGGGCCAGCGCCTGCAGCTGGGGCTGACTCAAGATGCAACTGGCACGGGCTCCCCAGTGATGCAGATGCTCCAGCAACACACTGAGGACACGGCTCAGAGCCGCCTTGGACCATCCGATGGTCTTCCCACCGAGGGAAGACCCTCGGGTTCAGCGATGCCCCCAGCAGCACTTTTCCCCTGTGATCACTGGGAAGGGGCAGTTTTGCACCTTTTCACCCTAAATCAGAGCATCAACCAGAGCCCTGTGTGGTGCAGAGCGAGGGGTGGATGGACCTTCTCAGGACCATCACAGCTTTGAGAAAAAGATAGGTTCCTGCTTTGGCAGGGGGATTGGACTGGATGATCTTTGAGATCCCTTCCAATCCCTAATATTCTGTGATTCTGTGATTCTGTGATAGTCCCTGTCAGCAAAACTAGGGCTTTTTGGAGCAGAAAGGAATAGATGAGAGAAAGGCAAGGATGGGATAAAATGGGGTGCTGCTGCCTCCCCAGGGAAAACCCCCCCAGGTCTCTCTGAGCTGCCCCGCAGAGCCTGGTGCTGAGCACCCTCCAAACCCAGTTATTCTGCAGCATTCAGCTGGATGAGCAAAGAGGTGAAACAACCGGACTGGAAACCACTCCCTGGCCCCCAACCAACACCCGCGGAGGGCGGTGACCGCAGCGGGGGCTCAGCTCTGCCCAGCCAGCACCACGCTCCCCAGGGAAGGATGTTTCACCTCCTCTTCTCTTCCTAACAAAATAAATAACGAAGTGGATGTTAAACAGAAGAGTGGAGAGAGCCCGAAGCCGCTGGCGACGGCCGGTGCTCGAAATCTCTAGAGCCAGGAGGCAGCTGAGTGTTTTCGGGCTCTGGCCAGAGCTGGATCATGAGCCTCAGCACGGGACCCCCGCTGTCACCCTGGGCTGTCCTCTGCCCCACACCACTCGCTCTGCACCACACAGGGCTCTGGTCGATGCTCTGATTTAGGGTGAAAGGGTGCAAAACTGCCCCTTCCCAGTGATCACAGGGGAAAAGTGCTGCTGGGGGCATCGCTGAACCCGAGGGTCTTCCCTTGGTGCCTGTGGTGGGGTAGCCTGTGCTTGTGGGGCAGGAAAGTCTTTAACCACCAAGTGCAGGAGTGGGGAGAGGGCTGGCAGACCCCACTGTCTGCTCTGACCCCCAGTGATAGAGGAGCCCATCCAGCATGACATGCCCCCCAAATCCCACCCCACAGCCCCCACA